TAAAGAATTTAGCCAAGCATGACTAAATTATACATAGCAAATATAAATAAAGAATTACAAATCATCAAAAGAGTACAAGAATTAACCAGACGATTTTCCCAAATCTCCCTAGTCTTCTTCTTGCTTTCCAAGACAACTTGTGGCTCTTGATTTCTCTCCTTCTTGTCTCCAAGAATCTCTGAATTCTCCCGGTCCCCCCGTCTCGTTCGTCCGTTTAGGGTTGAGGAAGGAGGGATTTTATAGTGGGTACAAAGTTGAGATGAAATAGGAATCTTGTACCAAATTGGACTCAAATTCTAATTCCTATATTTAAATAAAGAAATTGTCGTCTTTAATGATATTTAGAATTTAGAAGATTCCTTGAATTGCTAACTTTTAATATGGAGATATGAGCCTTGAAGTCCGCGCAATTGATATTAGGAAAAGAAATCTCGCGCTTGTATTGATTTTGCCCAGCTGCGCCACTTTAGGCGTCTGTTTTTATATGCGCGCCACTTTAGGCGTCTGTTTTTATCCCAGAAATAGACGCCTATTCTCTCGACGCGTCGAGAATTTTCTCCACGCGTCGAGACTTCCTGTGCGCGAATTAGTTAGCTACTGGAAAATTTCGACGCGTCGAGTCCACTGGGCTCCGAACTCGTCCAAAATTGCTCAAAACTCATCCTTGAACTTCCCTTGCTCATATCTTTGACCTAAAATGGTTCAAAAACACTAACAAACACCGTAAAACATTCAAAACAAGTGTGAACCATAATTAAATGATAATAGCAAGGAAAATATGTATTAAATAAGCAAAATTAAAGGACTTAAATACTGAGATGATTCAAAATAACTATAATAACAAGCAAAGATGTGATAACATCAAAATCCTAACAAATTTGTGCATTCAAACTGCCAAATCTGTGTTATGGGTTAGCTTTTCTCACAAAATCTTTGAACACATCTTTATATTCAATAAATCTTTGGATACACTATATACTACAGATTTGTTAAATCTTTGAGAATAGACATCTGGATTTATTAAATTTTCGAATCAATTTTGAAAAGACAATTCGTCTACCAAAAAAAAAATAATACAGTGGTGTAACGTTGAGAAGATTTATCCGTGGTCATTCCGATATCGTATTTAGGACAATGAGTACGGCGAAATTCACCGATTAACTGAGTTAATGAGATAATTTCGATGTATGAATAATGAATAAAAAAAAAAACTTCAGCTATAATTTTTCATAAATCAATAATTAGTAATCATTGTTAAATCAATACAAAATCATTATTAATCACAAATATTTAACAATAAAAAGGCAAACACAAATCCTTTTTTATGCTTAAAACAATAAGAAGGCAGACAAAAATCCTTTGTGCTTAACAATAAAAAGGCAAACAAAAATCCTTGTTATGCTTTATTCCAATTCAAAATCTGTTCCTATTTAGAATCCAAAATGAAAATGGTTCCTCCTCCGGTAATGACTCCAATTAACAAGCACATCATGGGCATCACTAATCCAAATATATATTAATTTTCACATTAAAGAAGACAAAAATATGAACTCCATACTACAACCCACCTTAACATCTTCAGGTTTGGAGTAATTGAAGAAGTAGAAACCGATGAAAAGGCCAATGGGCAACCCAATCCAGCAACCAAGAATTCCCTAGAAAGTGCTGCTGAATCCCATACGCTTTATTCTTGCTGCTTCAATCAAACAGAGATGAGGGTACCCGTTTGATTATCAACACAATGCCAAAGATTTTAGAAAAATAAAATAAAAGTAGGAAAGAATATACAAAATTTGAAATGAAAAAAAAAAATCGAAAAATGGCAGGAATATTGGTGGGTTCGATAGAAACGAAGAAGAAGAAGAATAGAATAGTTTGCTAATGAGAGAAGTCTAATGCAAGTCAGAAAACAGAGGAGACGGAGAAACCGAAGCTCGTCGCTGCTCACCAAGGGAAGAGAGAAATGGGTTTGGTTTTGGGTGGGTTTTTTTCATGGCTGAAAAGTATGTAAATGTTGGTGTGTATACATAAGTGAAAGAGAGTAGGAGAAGTGGAGAAAATGGAGGCTTCTTCCTTCTCTATAGTTAGTGGCGGACTCAGAAATTTTGTCTAGTAGGGGCGAAATATTATAGTTTACAAAACAATGAAACACTTAAAGAAATATAGTCATAAATAATTAAATATTATTGGATGTATGTGAAAAATAAAACACATTAAAACTTTATAAAAATACTCATAACAAAATATGAAACATAACTAATTTGATAAAATAATTCAAATAGGAAATACATTATAAATTACACATCTCATTATTAATATTAAAAAAGTTATATACTTTTAAAAAAGATTTAAAAAGCCAAAACAGAAGGGATTAAAAATAAAGAAGAACTAAAAAGCCAAAACAGAAGGGATTAAAAATAAAGAAGAATTAAAAAGAAGCCAAAACAAAAAAAGTTATATATTTTTAAAAAAGATTTAAAAAGCCAAAACAGAAGGGATTAAAAATAAAGAAGAATTAAAAAGCCAAAACAGAAGGGATTAAAAATAAAGAAGAAAGGGATTAAAAATAAAGAAGAATTAAAAAGAAGCCAAAACAAAAGGGATTAAAAATAGGGAACATTATGTTGAAGAACATGATTTGAACCCTAAACCCCTCCTAGCACCAAGCACGCGTCTTGCCAACTCGCCCAAATCATCCATTATTAATTTTTATCTATTTTTGAATATTTATATCTAAACATGTATATATATATATATATATATATATATATATATATATATATATATATACATACATACAAGGGCTATATATGAGGTGGGGGTGGGGTGAGTGGAGGGAGATGCCCCCACTGCCCCCACGGTAGGTCCGCCCCTGTCTATAGTGACACACGAGAGAGGGGGAGGAGTAGGTAAGAGAGAGTGAAAGATGAAGAGACAAGGTTGCTAACCTAGGGAATATTATGAGCATCTTGTTCGGGCGACCTTGGAGCCGTCTCTCCAGTGACGGCAGCAGCGGCGGGCGTGGATCTTCTCCGGCGACCATTCTCCTTCCTTTCCCCTGTTTTCCGGCGTAGTAGTGGCAGTCAGCGGCGTTCTCCTCATCTTCGCTGAACGGCAGCAATCAGCGACCTTGGTGAGCAGCGACGAGCTCGGTTTCTCCGTCTCCTCTGTTTTCCGGCGACCCTAATTCCCTCCGAGGGGTTTTACTTTTTTTTAATGTTTTAATTAATTAAATTTTGAATTAAAAAATTATTAATTACACATTGTAAATGAGTTTTGACTAAGGTGGTGCAAATATCAATTTGAACACCCCTTTGGCTATTTACACCACCTATGTAATTATTAAAAATTTTCTATCCTTTTACAATTGCAAGGTACTTTATACCCACTTTTGACTAAAGGATTGTGCAAATAACAACATCCTATTAAAAATTTTCACCTTTTTACAATTTCAAGATACTTTATACCCACTTTTGATTAAAGGGTGATGCAAATAGCAAACCCTTTTAAAATTCTACAATAGTGACAACCATATCTTCACTTCTCTATTATATCAACACAATAATCTATACTATATAACGTATAACATGTGCAAATAATTTATTTTTAAAAACCCAATGAAAAGGCTCCTAGCAATAAGTCATTTTTTAATATTTCTTTCACTATCAAGTAAAAGATTATATCACCAATGACCTTGTGGTGTAGTAGCACAAAATAACACTTCTAAATGAGGTCATGGGTTCGTTCAGTGATGTTAGTATTGACTCTTTATGCTTGTAAGTTGAGAAAGTAGTTATGAACATATACTATATTGTACTCAGAGTTAGTGATGTTGCGATTACTGCGACAAAAGAAAACGGCTTGGTGCTCAGGGAAAGAATCTCAACAAAATCCGCCCTTAACCGCCTCTAGACCGCGACTCGGTCTGGGACACTCCGATTGCAACAAAATCTCAATAATGTGCTTGTGATATATTAAAAATATAATTTTTTATAGTCCACACAACACTGTGTGGACCATGGTCCACATAATAATTTGCCATGGTAGCATACCTTGGTGGTAGAACTATCAAAAGGAGGCTCAACCCGCCTGTTTAACCCAATTTTTAGGTGGGTTAGGTTGAAGAAATTTTTAATGGGCAAATTTTACTGTGGACCATGGTTCGCGTAGCAACATGGACCAAGTAGAAAAACGACGTCGTTTGAAGTGTTTTCTGTTACCAATGGTAGATAGCAAATTTCGTTATGGTCCGTGTAGCAACCTCTCTCATAATTCGGTTTCATTTTATACATACAATAGTTTCATTATAGCAACACTAATTTATAATATACATGTATGACAATTATATTGGTTCATTATAGCAACACTCAATATCATTTAATTTTTTTGGTGAAACCACATAGAGTGTTGTTCAGGTATTACAACCACATCACACAACATTGTCTCTGTTTTTTGAATACATATTAGCAATGAATGAAGCATTACCTATAGAATAACAATGTTATCACCTTAATGAAGCTTTAGGCTTGCAACAATGCCATTGTAAAGAGAATAAAACAAGTATAGAAAACAATATTATCACCTTAATGAAAATTTAGGCTTGCAACGACGGCGTCGAAAAGAGAAGAAAACAACTGCTCTAAAGATTAGAGATGTAACAATGGCGTGCTAGAGAGGTAATGAAACCAAACGTTTGCTTTTCGTTTATATATAAATTAAAAAAAGTACTGCACTGCACATTGTCATTACTTGATTGGTTTACGGAATGATGTCATTTTGGACCATATATGATCCACACAGCTGTGTGAATCATGGTCCACCATATAACGATTGATTTCTAATGTGACCTGGCCAATTCCAACCAGTTTAGCCCAATATGCCTTTATGGCACCAATCACCATTAGAGATTAACAAGCTGCAAATGGAAGTTCATAATTTTCACAACACACCACAAACATCATAAGAGACATAATAAGAATTCCAATAATGAAACTTCACAATACAACATCATCATACATTTCAATGAACCATTGTTTTGATACAATAACAGTTCAACCAACCAACCAACATTATGGAAGATGAACTCCAACAACAACTCAATGAAACATCATTGTGATAACAGACAAATAAACCCAAAGAACCATGGTCTGGATAGAGTAAGTTCAGAACCAAATACCAAATCATAGTTAACATTTTCAATAATCTCACTATCCAGTAATAGATTATCACTTATGAAAAATTCCAACATATCAAATGAGAACACCACAACTTGAGGCAGCCAGGATGCATTTCTGGGAATGAAGCCAATGCATCATTGTAACTTGTATATGATTCCCTTCAAGAAACACAAACGGAAAAGCTAAAATTCTTTGCATATACCCAAAATAAAATGTCTAAAAGAGATGGTAGCTAGGTTTTGATGTTCCATTGGTAATTTGGTATGCATACCTTGGTTAAACCAGATTTCCTCAAACACAAAATTATCAAATTGCATACTCGCTCCTTTCTTTCGAGCTTTCATTGGTTGGCAGCTCAATCTAATAAAAAAATAAAATTAAAAACCAGAACAATTAAGAAAGAATAGGAGAGGAAGGAGGGATTTAAAAAAAGTTGATTAATAGAACCAAAAGACTCATAAACTATTTATCAAAATTCATAATTCATAAAAGGGAACTAGAGAGAGACCTTAGTTACATCACGAACAACAAGTCCTTCATATCCCAAGCCTCGTTGCGCTTGTTGGATCTCCATCGCAGATGTCACAAGAGAAGAACAACAATTGTCTAACTCAATTAATCGCAATGTATAAACTTCCTCAAAATTATTTGGAAGATTTTCCAAGTCCAAGCAATATCTTAGAATTAGACGCTCCAAAACTGGGAAATGATTTGCATTTGCATTCCAACATTCGAGATCAGAGTGTTCAATAAGGAAGAACCGTAGTTGTAAAAACTCCCCATCCTTGGGTGTCCACTCTGGGCCACAAAAGGCAAAATCTTTCAATTTGAGTAAATCAAGATTGGGTAACTTGCCAATAATGTCCATATCTTCCCATGAAAGATACGTGTTACTAAGGGTCAATTGCTTGAGGTTTGATGGAAAACAAATTGGGAGATTAAACCGCTCTACCCTCCCCGTTTTAACCTTTAACTTCTCAAGTTGATGTAACTCAGCAAGGCTGTCAAGAGCATTATTAGGCAATACTTCACCTTCAATGTAGATCCCCAACTCCTTCAGATTTGGAACTTTTGTAAAGTTTGTGGTTCTTGAGTCCCGGCCGGTAACTTTGAACCATGAAAGAGTTTGTAAGTTTTTTTGGACCAAGTCGGGGAGATAAAAAGATGAAGATCCCTTGTCAAAGCGCACATGCCTTAACCATGGCAAATCCAAAACATCACATGGCAGTTGCAATTGATACTCCTTTGTCCACGCAGAGAGAATGAGAGTTTGCAAACTTTTGAGCTTAAACAATTGAGAGTTACAAACAGAACCTATAGTTGTTAAAGCAAAATATCTTAAATGAACCAAATTCTCAATCTCACTAGGCATGCCATGCCAATATTTTATTAATGATAAATCCAATACTCTTAACAACTTCAAAGATGAGAATATCGACCAACACTTTGCAAGATATAAATTTTCCTCAAAGTAGAAAAAGGAACGGATTTTAAGTGAAGAGTTAGAAAAACAACTTCTAGTAATTGACCAACAACCATAGTGACTACTTACCCAACGACGCCCTTCAAAATATTCCGTCCTACCAACCATCAGCATAATATCCTCCTTAATTGCATTTCCCAAGCAAAATACATGTAACATTTCTTGAAGCATACATGATTTGATTTTTCTATCCAAACTCCTCTTGTGAATTTGAACTAGCCTCCTATGGATAAGATCACACAAATAATCTTTAGCTATCTCTTCTAAACTCTTATTCATCTCCGGATTTACAAATCCTTCAGCTACCCATAACTTTATCAATTTTTTGACATGAATTTCGGTATTCATAGGAAAAACTCCCAGATAAAGAAAACAAGCTTTTAGGTGAGTAGGCAAATAGTCGTAGCAAACGTTAACTGTGTACTGCAATAAATTAAAACGACTATTGCATGGTGAAATGATGAACAGAATATCCTCCCACTGGCTTGGTGAGTTGTTGAGTGTGGCCAGAAGTCCACCAATCAAAACAATTACTAGTGGTATTCCCATACATTTCTCAACAATGCATCTCCCTATTTTCTCAAATTCAGGGGGTAGACTACTACATTTTCCATTAGACGTTGCAGTTTTGCTTAATAATTTCCAGCTTTCTTCTGAATTCAGAAAACGTGTCTTGAAAATCCACATATCTGACTTGCTAGCAAATTCAGCCACTTTGAGAAATTGAGTAGTTATCAGAACTCGGCTTCCATTTCTATCATCTGGAAAAGATGTACTCAATTCATCCCATGCCGTTGAGGGCCGAAGCTCATCAATGACAATCAAATACCTTTGGCCCATCAGAAGTTTGCGGAGTTGCTCTGCTAGTTGCTCATCATCTTGTTTGGAGATTTGTTCATTGGTCAATGACACAATACAACTTAGAATATCAATCAGTATATTTCTCTTACTCTGTCGGTTACCGTCAACCGTCCACGCTTGAATGTCAAAGTGAGACACAATAGATGGATCTCCGTAAACTTTTTTGGCCAAAGTAGTCCTTCCTGTGCCTATCATTCCCAGAATTGAAAGGACTTGTAGTTGAGTGGACGAAGAAGTTTGAATGAGCATGCCTTTTATTTCCTCAAAATCACCTTCGATTCCTATCATTGTATTCTCAAAACCATCCCTGAAGTTCTCTAGCTGTAAACAAGGTGGTTTTGAAGAAGACGAAGAAGGAGTAGCATGAATTGAGGCTGTACCTGCTGTATGTCTGGTTTGCAGATCTCTGATGCGCACTTCAACAGACTCAATATCCTTCACTACTCGTTGCAAGCTCCGATGAAGATCTTCACCCTGCTGGTGCTGGTTAGCCGCCAAGTAAACTTCACCCAGTTTGAACTCGATTTCATCTTCTGCTTTGATTGCAACATATCTGATATTTCTGAATACTTCATCCAGCCTTTTCACTGCCTCGCTCTGGCGATCAGAGGTAATTGTGAGCTTAGGTTTGTCAAGATAGGCCTGCAGGAAATGGAGCTTATCCTTTAAGGTGGATAGGATGATTTGAGCATCATCAGGAAGAATGAAACAAGAAGGATTATTTTTATTATGAAGAAGAAGAAGCTGTAGTTGATCTACTATTCCTAGTAGACTACTTACAGCAACACAATCCATTGCTGAATTGAATTGCTTTTTCTCTTTGATCTTCTTTTTCTCAACTACTGATGGATCTATGGGAGAATTTCCAATTGGCTATACTAGTATGTATTTGGTTGGTGTATGGGAGAAGAAGAAGTATTTGGTTGGTGTTATTGTTCAAACAATAATTAAAACAAGAGATAATAAGGCCGGCTTCATTTCTCTAAACATGCATGATTAATTGATTGTTTACAATAGTTATGCCGTGGAACCGTGTTCACCATGCGCATGGTGAACACGGGATAGATCCATAATTTCTAAACTGTATATTCATAATTTCTATACTGTAGATTTATAACATCTATACTGCACTTTCATAATTTTTATACCGTACTATAGATTTATAGTTTCTATACTGTAAATTCATAATTTCTACAGCATAAAAATTATGGATATACCGTACCCCTGTGTTCACCATGCGCATGGTGAACACGTTTCCATGATATAATTTGCGGATTGTTTAATTAGATGACTCATCAATTGGATACCCACTAAATTACACAAAATATATAAGTTGACTATAACAATATACAACCTAACATATTACATGTCATGATAATATTAAGATTTTTTATTCAAATTAAATATAACAAATAGACAACTAGCATAATAGTTGACTAGTCGTCATGATAATATTAAGATTTTTTTTTTTCAATTTAATATAACAATATATAGGCAACTAGCATAATAGTTGTCATGAATCATGATAATATTAAAATTGCGTTTCAAATTAAATATAATAATAGACAACTAGCATATTTTATTAATGTTTCTCCAATTAAATTATGGATTAATATTTGATGCACCATGGTGTATAAATGTTATACAGTGGCGGTGAATGAGGGGATGACACATCACTAAAGAATATAATCAATGTTAATTTTTACAAAATATTTAAGACTTGTATTCTTTTAAGAAATTCTTTTATTTGGATTAACAAAATACATCTACTTTCCTAAACATATTTATTACTTAATTATTATATATTTAATTATCTTTTTTTTTTTGAAACCAACAAAACTTCAATAGATTAATTCAGAAACAACTTCGAGATACACCTCGGAGGTACAAAGTCATAAAGACCAAGGACAGACATAGAAACTGTTGCCTGTGCAAGCACATGAGCTACATGGTTTGCTGACCTTCGGACATAGCGAACAGTAACATCACCAATGTCCATAGCAATTGATTTACATTGCTTAATCAAAACACCAACATATGAGTAGTCTGGAAGACAGGAACTGAACGAAGGCAAAGTTCATGCAGTCAGATTCCAGAATGATATGATTCGACCCGCGTTCTTTTATCCAAGTCAGAGCCTCTTTCACCGCCAAGGTTTCAGCAAGGTACGGATCAATGCCACATCGAAGACGATCGAGAAGCCCTTGCAGATAAGAAAATTCCCTTGCTTCCACGTAGAACAGCTCCTGAACCAGCACCTTGCGAAGAACAAGCAGCATCAATATTACATTTTAAATAACCCATAGGCGGAGGCAACCACTCACTGGAAACTGCAGCAGTAGTGTGCACTATAGAACCATGCATTACGTCTGGTTGATGCAGATAAGTTGACTGCCATTGCTCATTCAAGCTAAGCACATATTCTTTCAACATGGTTTCACACCAAGCTTTACCATTAAAGACAGCATCATTTCTTGCCAACCAAACTGATCAACAGCGCGCAGCCATGAGTATGTTCAACCCTAGTCAGCAGCATCAAGCACCGAACTAACAAATTGGTTAAAGCTCAGACCTTGGAGAACATCATCCACACCCCAAAGATGTCTAGCAGCTGGGCATATACAGAAAAGATGCGAGATGGTTTCGTCATCTGAAGTACACATAGGACAACCTCCTCCAATCCAAATATGTTTAGAACGAAGTGTAGAACAAACTAGTAAAATATTACGAACACAGCGCCACATTGTGAAAACCGGCATAGCCTGAGCTATACTCTTCAGTAAGACCTCTTTACCTGCACGGGATAATAATTTCTGAGTCAGTCACTTGATCCCGTACTCTTTGCTCCACATATCTGAAAACCGAGACTTTATTCCTGCCAAAAAATGAAGGCAAACCAAGATATCTTCCAAAATCTGTAGTACATCGAACTCCAAATACTGTAGCTACATGAGTACACATTTCTGGTGTAGTATTAACACAAAACATAATGCTTGATTTCTCGTAATTCAGCAATTGGCCAGATGCCTCGCTATACTTATCCAGTGAAAGTTTAACCTCCTAAGCCTCCCTATCGGTTGCCCTGAAGAACAACAAACTATCGTCTGCAAAAAAGAGGTGTGAAATCGAGGGAGCGCCCCTGGCTATCGAAATTCTATGTATATTTCTCGTGCTTCCCGATTTTGCTAACATAATGAAAGGCCCTCAGCGCACAAAATAAATAGGTAAGGCGATAAAGGATCGTCCTGACATATTCCCCGAGTAGGTACCATTGTACCTGTTGGTTCACCATTGATTTGTATATTATAACTTACAGAGGACACGCACAACATCACTAGGTCGACCCACCCACGGGCAAACCCAAAAGCTGACATCATACCCTCCAGATAACCCCATTCCATGCGGTCGTAGGCCTTGGCCATATCCATTTTTAGTGCGGCCCAACCAATCTGACCTTGACGCTTCCCACGTAAATAGTGACCAACTTCACCCGCAAGGATAATATTATCTGTTATTAACTGATTAGGAACGAATGCACTTTGAGAGGGTGAGATGATTGTTGTACAATAATGAACCAAATCGATTTAATATCCCAAAATAATATTTATATATACACACACAAGTATATAAAATATTATTCGATATTTATCCGATATATATATACACACAAATATATATATATATATAACGGAACCAACAGTTATATATACATATATATATCTATAAAAAGATATACCAATATATATCAACCAAAAGTTGGAACTAATAATCCTCAGATTATAAGTCCAATTTAACGGTAATAACCAAAAGGGAGAACGAATTTTTGCTTAGAGCATAATCCAAAACAAGAAAGAAGGAGAAGGAAGAAAGAAGAAAGTACGAGTTAGGCGTGGTGCCTTTCTTTCCTTAAAACCTTATTTGCCACCTCCCAAAAGTGCTAGGAGTGTTGTGGCCTAGGTTTCCCAGGATAAAACGTACAACGGTTCGACGTTTGAGCACCCAAACGAACGAACCCGGCGAACTAGAGCACGGGTAGAACACGGCTTCAAGAATGGAGTAGAAGCAGAAGTATTTTGAGGCTGAAAAATATATTTCTTGTGTGTTCAAACTGCTACTGCTCAACTCCTTCTTATATAGGGATTGAGGAGTGAATAGCCTTTATTATGGCATTTAGGGGCACCACTACAACTCCTGTAACGGCAAC